TCTCATGAGTGACTGCAAAAGTCATGCTGCTTATCTGTGTAACTAACAAAAACCCCGTATTAGGCACTAGGGACAGAGCCTGCTACAATGCAGAGCCATCAGACCCAGGGGCTGGATGCAAGCATCACTTAGACCTGTACAGTCTGGACAATAGCAGCAAACAGAGCTGAGGGGACTCCTGATAATTGAGAAAAAGTGCACCTCATGTACAGTTTCATAGAAATAGCATGACTGTTACTATTCATCCTCTGATCAACTCTAAACCAGCTGTTGAGGACACTTTGCCTCTTGAAGCACGCATGCTCCTCTCAGGGCACTCCATCCCATTCACCTTGAGATTCTGCTTTTCCATGAAGAAGTGTCATTATCAGTGGTGAATTAATATCTTTGCCAACACTCACCAGCCCTCTCTTTGCATCCCAGCCCTCACCCTTCAGGCAGATAAAAACATCTTCAGGCTTTTTTTTTTTTTCCCCAGTGCAGCAATGTAAAGTAAAGCTGCTCCTTCTAACAGACTTCCAGAGTGCATTTCCTCCTCCAGAAATAGCTGCCTTCAATCCTTCAACGTTCCCTTTACCAGATCACTTCTGATTCTCTGTTCTGATCACCTGGAGAAAAGCAGCATTCATCAGAAGAAACATGCACTTTTGAGTCAGAACCACAACCTCCATTGGACAATCTACTCCAGGACAGTACAAACACTACTTTTGACATTTTTTCTCATTTCTCCAGCTTTGAGTAATTGCTCTCAATTCAGACCACTTCTGTAATACTATGAAGCTCATCTCTCTGGTTTTACTAGTCTAAGTTTGACTCCAAGACCCTAAAAAACTGCTGAAATATATACTGGCAACTTGTCATAGTCTTCCAAAGATAAATACAGCATTGCACTGCAAACAGAAAATTAACTGCAGTTTTTAGAACTATGGAGGATATATGGATGCCCTTACAACTTGCTTCTTAATGAACAACAAGAAGGGAAGGTAATTATCTAAGGCAGTCTTTTCATGACAGAGGGAAAGAACAAAACAGTAACCAAAACCCACTGACTTTAGAGACTCCCAGTTGAGGCTTGCTCCTGTAGTAGGAAGAGAACAACACACAGTTTTACCTGGAGACTGAAGAGCTTAAACTTTTCAGACCTGTTCAGTATTATACAATAGAACAGACTTTCTATTATACATTATACAATACCAGACAGGTATAAAATACCTGCATCACTCATTTTCCTGCCTCCTCCTAGAGACTCCTTTGAAAAATCTTCAGTCTTTGCCACATCTATCTTAGGACTCTTCCTTGCAAAACCAAAACACCTGCTCCTTGCAGTCTGTTTCTCTTGCAGCACAGTAAGCTGCTACTGTTTCAAATGCTTGGAAAAAAATTTTGATTTAACTCCAAAGGAATATTCTGATTGCCAGTGGCTGTTCTCTCTGTCTTAACCTAGATCAGTTTGACATAAGCCATTTACTTCATGGTTAACCCCGGAAAAATCCTGCAGGGAATATAAATTCATGCATTAATCCTGCTCACCAGTTTGGTTCCACTTAGGTTTGGATGAAGGAGGTGCCGCATTGCAAACCCGACTCAAATTTACTGCTTCGAATGCTTTAACAAAACACCACTCTGGAGCCCTTTGTGATCCTCACACAAACTCTTTATTGCAGAGGAGAGAAAGAGACACCACTGTAAGTGCTGAGCATTACAATGAAACATAAAGCAGCATTAAAGTTGCTCCGTGCTTAATGCTGCGGTTTAAGCAGCTAATCTTGTTTCGGTTGAATGGCATGTTCATTACAGCAAATAAATGAGTAACATGTAGGATTATTGAAGAGGAAAGACATATTAAACCAGTTTAGTGCATCATATTGATTTATTTTTTTTTTAGTGTCCAATTTAGCTTGGCGTTTTTCAACAGTCAGTTCTAATAAACACTTGTACAGCACAGATTAAGCAGGTGGGAATGCTGCCCAGAAAGAGTATTATGAATAACTTAAGGCACTGGTTTAATTGCAGCAATCCATGATACTTGCTGTGTTGGCACCGGAGGGGAATTTTCAGTATTAAAAGTTAAAACTTCAACCAAGCTACTAGCGAGTATCTTTCTTTTATTAAATACTTGAAAGATCTTTCCAACTTTTTCACCTCAGATGGGACAAGGGGAAGATTTCAGAATTAATTTCACTATTTAACCTATTTAACACATTATTTTTAAAAAAGAATTAGCAGTTTACTTGACACATTGTGTCTCTGACACCGCAAAACATTGCGATAGTGTCCCTGCCATCCTGCCACCCAGTTGGCCCTATTCTGCCTAGTCCCGTTTGCAAGTAAGATGCACAGAAGCAAAAAAGCCCAAACCCAGTTCACACTTCAAGCAGCAGGCTCCTTTCAAAGCTATACTATTACTATCCTGTAGAGTATTCCCATATTCCTTCCCCATAGCACTAGTTCCCTGGCACTATCCCTGCCACAGCTCAAAGGAGTAGGAGTGACTTGATCCAACTTTGGAGGTGGCCCTGCTTGAGCAGGGACTTAGACTAGATGACCTCCAAAATTCTCAAAGTAGGAGTGATAGAAGAAACACAATTAAAGCTTAGGTGAAATAGCAAAGTGCTCCCCCATGTCAAATGGCCTCCCTTCAGCAACTTGTCCATGTCCACTGATGACACCTGCAGTAAGCAAGCTCTCATCCTGCACACCATACACCACATCGAAGCAAGGATTCAGCAGGCAACAGGGGTGGCTAACTTGTTTTATTTGGGGGGGGGAAAATGCAGCTTTTTCTTCTGTGTATAAGGCTGAAAGGAACAAAAATCTCCCTGCAAAACAAAAACCTCCCTCTTCCCTCACCTCTAATCTATGCAAGGTATGAAGGTCCATCTTCACCCACTGTGCCTCTGGAGAAGAGCGTGTGTTCATGAGTGCTCCCACATGCTCATGTTAGCCACCACAAGTCAAAAGCGCCCCAAGCAGCTCCTCTGGCCCCAGAGCAGATACTGGGGACAACCAGTTTGGACCAGCACCATCTTTCAAGCAGAGAAGATGCGAAGAGCTGAAGCTGTGTGCCATAGCAGAAGACACTGGTCTGACAGCTCCCTAAACTCACACCCAATCCCAGGCACAAATCATTGCAGAAACCCAGGAGGGTTTTATGGCCAGCAGAGATGCTGGTATCTCTGTATTGAACACCTGCACTTGGAAAAGCTTATCACACAACCAACTCTGGTCATTAACCACATCACCTCCTGTTTTCATCCTTTACATTTTATCTTTGCCTTAGATTAAACCAGGGTCTCGAAGACAGCAACCACATTTCAACTCTCAGCAAAACACAAGGCTACTAGTTGCACAGGTAGCAAGAGACACTGATCACAATGTGAGGGGAAGCGAGTTCCCAGCTGCAGAATTTACTGGCTCCACTCTTCCAATGTATAACTTTTTACACTAGAAAAAATATAGAAAGGGCATCAAGATCAAGCTAAAAATGCTTACACCAGTCCCAGAAGGAAAATTAAAAAAAAAAAAAATGAACAAAAATTGGTAAGTTACCCATACATTCTGATTAGGAGTGCAGTGACTTTGCTGATCACACAGCTTCTCATTCCAGAGAAACTCTACATTCAGGGCATGAAAAATAACATATAAATTAGCAGAACTGCAAGAAGATTTGATGGTACTTGATTAACTGGACAGTAAGCACCAGAAACAAAACATTAAGAAACTGAAGCCATTTTGTGATTGTAGCAGGCATTTAATAAAGATGGAAAAAAAAGTAGCCATTGCACAAAAACCCCTACTATTTTTGGTTTGTTTTAAAGAAAAAGTACCCTGTTTAGTGGTAAACGGGAGTCCTCACTCAGCTTGGAACAGGAGTTTTGTAAAGAGCCTTTGACCCAGGATTACTTCAACACCACCCACAGCACCACCCAATTCAGGTGTCCTCCCAGAAGAAAACTGTTACTTTTATGTAACTCAGAAGCAAGTCCCTGTTGCCACCCCACTACCTGCTCTCATTCCCAACCTGCACAGTCAGCCCACATGAGTCCCATCACACAACAGAAGGGGATCTGGGCTCAGCTGCTCTGTCTCCCTGCTACCAGTCCCCAACTTCACCTCCACCAAGGAGCCAGAGCCTCCCCTTCCCAGTTCAGCTGCAATCAAGGCCCCATTTGTACCCTCTTTACTCACAGCCTTTCAATCACCTGTGAACTTCATCAGCCTCTCCCTCCAAAACACTTTGTTCCCAGTGTGCTTACAGACCCCCATTTCCACCCTCAATTACTCTCTGATGAGCCTCTGCTCCACTCACTGGGTAAATCCCCTGCTCCCCTCACTTGCCTTTCTCCTGTGCTTACTCCCATTCAAGTCCCTCTCCAGCACAATCAGGCAAGCAGAACCATTGCCAGTTTCCCAGCTGAAGCCGCACCTCACACACTGGCATTACAACTCTCTCAGCCTTCCTGGAAGCCCCTTGCAAGTGATGCCCTGAGATTTAAACTCACCATTGAGATATCCACATCCAACCACTAGTGTACAAGGCTACTAACATCAGGTCAGACACCCAGCTCTCCCCATGGTGAGGCACCGCACTGCCATTTTTGAAGAAATCATCCAGCTCAACAGCAATCCAACACAGTGCCTGCTGAAGCTGAAAGAGTGGCCAGTGCAGGCAACTAAAAGCCTCCCCACAAAGACCGCAAGTTATTCCCCACTAGCCTTACTCACACACCCCCATCCAGGAAACTCCATTGCAACTAAACAGGAGCCTCTGCCTATACTTCAGTAGGCTCTGAGTGAGCTGAAACTCCACCTTCTCTCAGCAGTTGCAGTTCATTTGTTCTGTAATTCAGTACAGCACTGCTCTGGAAGCATCCTTCCAATGCTGTTTTCCTGCAAATGGCATAATGAGGAATAATAAGCAGGTGCTTCTGAACATAAAACCAGAACAGCAGGAGTATAAAACTACTACAAATGAAGCAATTAAGTAACCACACTGTTCCTTGTTTATTGACAATCTTTATTAGAGCTGACTTTCTGTGTTTAGAGGTTTCCTAGGAAGTATAAACATGAATCAAAGTGCTCCCCCACAGTAAGAAATCTTTATTTGCACAAAAAGATACAAACAACTAGTATTTCAAAGTTCATCCTATTTAGTACATATAATACCAAAAAGGCAAAAAATAAACCAAAATGAAAGACTAGCAGCAAAAAGAATTCTAGTTCTCCTTCAACACAGTCTATGTGCTTCCACATTCCTCTAGGAAATAGAGTATAAAGAGAATTCAATCAATTTATATATGAAATATCCTACCAAAAATATAACACTGTGTAAAGAAAGTTAGTAGTACAAATTTTGGTGGGGAAAAAAAAGGAGAAAATAGTAGATGCAATATTAAAAATCTCAAGTGTAAACTTTTACTGCTGCTTTAAAATAAAACCCAACAAAAGTCACATGAGTATTTCCGTTTGGCTTAGCAGCCAGGAAAATAAGAAAAGCTGATTTTTTTTTTTTTAATTTTTTTAAAGTGCTTAACCACCATATCCAAAAGTAATGACTTTCAGACCTACTTAACATGAATGTGCTCAAAAAGCCACTGCTTACAGTATAAAAGCTGTCATTCTGAAATGCTGCACATACAAACTGGCTTTATCTGCACAAATGAAAGATTGCTTTGAACAGCTCTCAATCATATGATGTCCCAAATCAATGTAATGCTATTAGAGCAGGCAGCTGAATAAGTCCCAGAAAGTTGAAGTTTAAGAATAATAGATATAAAAAAATAATCTTTTTTTTTTTTAAAGGCAGCACGCCTTTCCCAGCCGCAAAAAAGTTAACTTTATGTAATAAGCAAGAAAAACAGAGTTTCATGTTATTGTTGTAAACTATCTAGAACAAACTGTTGACCTAGTAATTCACATGTTTAACAGAGGGAGATAAATACTTCTTACTGATAAAATACAAAAAGGCAATCATATGGGTGGGACCAACCGCTAACATATTTTACTTACTATTAAACATACTGTCACCTTGACTTTAGAACCAACAGTATGTCCTAACTCAAAAATATCCACAAAAAAAAAAAACAAACAAGAAAAACCAATGACTTGAAGAGCTTTAAGACTGTTTTGTGACACTGTGATATATTTATTTGAGCCTTAGTGCAAAGGGAAAATTTAACATTGTAGGCTCCAAAGCAAGTCGAATACATAAAACTGCTTCATGGAGTTTTTTGACAGACATCAGACACACAAACTGCAAGAGGAATTTCATTTTTCAGCTGTAATGACCATTCATTTTCAACTCAAGGTTAGAAAAGAAATTTTAAAATGAGAGCAAAGACTCTGGCATTCATTAACCTCAAGTACAGCTATAAATCATTTCAACCCCACCACTCTCCCTAATCAGGACTAGCATAACCAAACTGAACTGCCGGTACCGCTGCAGCCGTTGAATTGTGCCAACAACCTGACAGTAGCGCTATCCAATCGCACAGTTATTGTATTAACTTCTCCATCAGCTTTGGAATCCTGTAAGATTGAATTTGTTTCTATTAATCTATTTTACAGGCCCAATTTTTTAATACTATTTCTTGAAAGTCATCAATTCCAAACACAGTATCTTCACTGTCCTTCAGGACAGTTCTTAAGTTAGAGAACCCTCTGGTTCATTTACCAGTAAAACACATAATCTGGTAAAGGTAACTTTTCCCCAACAAAGTTCCTGCATATTAAGCCATAGCAAGCTCTAGAAAAGGAAATTCAGCACCTCCAGTGACTTGACTTTACCCCACTTATCCACAAAAAACAAAAAAACAGCCATCTTTATAATTAAAACAGAAAGGAAATAACACAGTAGACAAACAGTGAAGCATCCAGTTACCCAAGCAGACTTCTAAAATAAGCCTCTGAAAATGTAACATTTGAAAAGCAATTACTTTAGTGGTTAAAGTGTGCAAATGACTAAATACGTTGCCTGTTTCTGAGAACTGAATACTGCAGTCATCAATGATTACTGTTCAAGTCTAGTACTGGCAGTTCTGTTGCATTTGTTGCTGGCTTTGGACATTATATATTAGCACTTTCTCTGAATATTTCATGCCCTTTGCTTTATTCTTTTTTTTTTTTTTCCAACAGATATCCTGACTTTGGAGTAGCATAGGAAAGATGAGAACTTTTTCTTTTTTAAAGGTTTCCTGTCCATCTCAAGTATGGCAACACCAAGTATTATGTGGAATTAAACACAACATTTCAAGAAGGAACATCTAATATTATTTCAAGTTTTGTCTATGAAAACCACCTCAAAGATTCAGAATCTCAGGTTTCTGTGAAACAAATACGATAAATATGAAAAAATACCATGCAAGAAAAGCGCAGTTATTCTATTGATGAAAAGTACAAAAGCTTAGAAACAGAAAAACACCATCTTTAGCTCGAGATTATAAAAAAAAAAAAAACACACCACAGATTTTTCAAAACCAGAGTCCATACAGTGTCACACAGCCCTGCCTTGTCATGTTTGTTAATATCCTTGCTTAGAAGTCAGACAGCATTTTAACTTGTGTTTCTCTGTATCATTACACTAAACCATAATTAACTCCTCTTTTGTGCCGGCCTCATTCCAACACAATTGTACCCACTGTATACCAGCAGCAGTTCTCAGGTTTTGTTTTGTAGCTCAGCTGTATTTTTCTTGGATGTTCACAAGACTGGCATTTGACTGGATGCGCTTGGCTAGAAAGGGAAAAATTATATGAAAATTAAACACAAAGAATTCCACAAAACTAGTCTCTCCACTCCCTCTATTTATCCGACACAGACTTGCAAACAGCTTTCTGTTCACGTCCAGAAACTTTAATGAAAAGATATGGCTGAAGCTCTTTACTACCCTTCTTGAGGGGACAGCAGCAGACTAATAGTCGCTATTAGCGCCGTCAGCACAGCTGCAGGCAGATCTGGCTGGGCCCCTTCTCCCACAAGAGCCAAGCGAGTCCCTGGCACCACCCAACTCTAACAGTGAAATGCCAGCACCACCACTTACGCAAAATGAGTATCCGTTTCTTTTGCTTTGAGTGAAGGAAGCTACTAAGATAAAAAACAATAGGTAGGAAGAGAATAAAGGATGAAACTGCAATCACCGGGACTGTATCGCTGCAGGGAACTGAGCAGTTGAAAGTCCTGCTCCAAAGCTTCCGAGTGATGTTCATCTAAAAGAGAAACATAAGCAAGCCGTGAAAGTGAGCACATCCATTTCTGCTGTGCAGCATGGCACACTCAGGCCTCAAGACATTCAAGTGTTCAAACATGACCTCAGAAAACAACACTTTAACAGATCTCCCCCCCAAAAGCCAGCAAATCCCTGGAAATATACAAACAGACAATTTAAACAGAGCCAAGATTTCACATCAAAATTTTCACAAGTTTCAAAAACATACTCAGATACACTGTAGACATTGCCACATGCCTATTTCCCAGAGAACTCACTGACAGCCTGTGGGGACAGGGCTAATCCCATACTTTCAACAGCACTCCTTTTGCCCAACCACTTAAAAACCCACAATATAACAAAGCTTTTTCCAAACATGTCGCCAGTGCTGAGGACTCCTAGAAACATCTGCTGTAATAAGGAATCAATTATTACACTGGCTAGAACAATAGCAGTAAAGCTTCACATTAAAAGCCAGAAGATTAAGAGTTGGTGGGGTTTTTTTTTAAAAATCCATCCCCTTCACAAGAACAAGAAATTAAAGTGCAGCTACTCAAACTGGAATGCACTCAGGTGACCGGGAGCTTCAGTCACGCTCCTGCTGCACTGACTGAGGAGAGGACAGCCCCACCAAGCTAACTTCCCGCCACGGGACATCAGCCTGCCAAAGGCACTGCCACTTGTACTGCCCCACACAAAGGGAAAAGGCAATCCCTAGCAAGGCAAGTGCAAATAGCTCAGATTAATAAAGACTTCCCTGTTGCGTATTAATAAATACTTACTGCATCTTCCACATCGATACACAAGTGGGCGGAGTGCCCAGACTCACCACCTTGCCTGTTCATCCTTTGCAAGTTGTTATACAGGTCATTCAACTTTTTGTAGGTTTCGTTGCAGTTTTTACATACTTCTGTGTAGTTATTTGGTGACAAATAGATGGTTTGTCCCTAGGGTTATAAAACAGCATTCACATAGAGGTTTAGGGCATTATAAAAAAAACTTGAAAACTAGAGTCAAGTTTGAGCCAAAACCCAGATTTCTAGCATCCTAGATTGAGTAAAGGCCCAGACACACAACTCACATGAGAATGCAGAAGGAAAAGGGACCAACTCTAATTCACTAAGGACAGGATTAATTTTCCACAGATTATGTACCTCAAACTGCTTCCTGAACTAGCAGCTATTTTTAAAAAAAAAAAAAAAATCCCCAAACACTTATTTTTAAAGTACAAGTTGCCAGAAGGAGAAAAAAAAATTACTAGTAATTAACTGTTATTCTGGAGCCAGAGATCAAGTTCCTTAATGCTGTGTTTTGGTGTTCATTTGCCTGTACCTAACAAGTAACTTTGTAACTGCTGAGCTGTACTGACAGGGACAGACTTTGCCACAGTAAGTAATCATTTTCATTTGTGGCCTTCACCACCCCTGAATGCAGTACAACACACTTGAAAGTAAAAGTACAATCTCTAAATTCTCTATATTCCAACCCAGTAATGGCTGTATCAGCTACCCACCAACCACGGGGGTTAAGTTCTAGCTCAGACACTTGAACGGATCAATAGGCCAGTCCACACTGCTCCTGGCCAAGGCCTATAAAGGCACATTTCCTATAAATCATTAATAATAATTTTAAAAGGCAAACAGTTTCCTCAGATATTGTCTCATACCCAACATTTCCTATTTTTACCACTGATTGAACCCAGAACTTGGTCAGTTTCTGATTAAAATGGAATACATGCAATTTCTTAGGTTATTTAGGGCACTTTCTTTGAGGACAATTACCACATTTATTTCACTATGTGAATTTCATTGCCTTTTCAATATGGACAAACTGTGTCTCTCCATAATTTTACTAGTCAAAACAACTGTTACAATGATTTAAGGTACAGGTTCTTCTGAACTAGTCTATATTATCAAAAGAGTGTTTAAAGATTGAATTGTTAAGCCAAAAGACAACAGTTCTCCAAAGAGGCAGAAAAAAAGAGACCTGCAGCATGCAGACATGCTGTTTCTTACTATGTAATTATCAATTATTGTGAATTCAGAAATTTTGATGTGAAGTATCACTGCAATTACATACAAAATGAAGTCAAGGTGACTATCAATTGGAATTAATTTTAGGCTCTCAATCTGTAAATATCTGCATTTTACAGATCATTGCTTTATCTGCCTAAAATTCACAAACTCACCAGCAGTTTATTTGCCTAATATCTATCTGCGGTTTATTCAGCATAAATAAGATTTTGCTAGCAATTAGAGGATTTAGTGTTTCTCTTAAACACACAGCATAAATACCTGAAGGTTATGTTCAAAACATGTCAGAGATTTATTGAATAAATCCAGAAACTCTACAGTAGAATTTGATAATCCCTCACTGCTGTTCTTTAAACAATCTGTCAAAGAGAAAGAAAAGTATCAGGATATTGTAATTTCTAATATTTCCATAGCCGACAAGCCACCCAGACACTCCACTCCCGCAAAAAGAGCTCTCGACTATAAAAGACAGGTCTAGTCAACACTGTGGTTTCCTTATCTGCCTGCCATTGATGTCTTAGACCTGCTGACCTAACTCTTCATCGAGAACATATTTCAGAATTAATTTGCCTTGATTAAGTGAAAGATGAAGACTATCATCAAGAGCTTTCTGAAGAAGGGGTCTGAATTACCTTTGGACTTTAAGATAAAACAAGACATTACTTTTATTTCCTACCCTGCAAATCTGGCTTTGCCCAGCAACAGTAACAGCCATTATGGGAAAGCAGAAGCACTAGCAGTGGAGATGAAACAGAGAGCATGTAGGAAACAGATAGACCACGAACACAACAGCAGAATCAGAATGTAGGTTATCACTGTTTAAGAAAAGAGCTGACCATTTCACCAGCTTTGAGGGGATATGTGGGGCTTTCTTCCCAGTCATAGGCTTAACCCTACCATGTTATAGCTTCCATCCATTCCACCCCACTTCAGGTGCTCTAACCAGACAGACCCTGGAAAACAACAGTGGTTTGGGACTTTAGATGTTCAGCAACAGCACTGTGAGGGCAAGTCAACATCCTAGAAAAATCTCCTGAAAGAAGAAAGCACTGTCAGTGTTGAGGGCGAGCATTCAGATGGACGCTGGGCAGGCAGCACACAGGTCACACGCTAAGCACGGCAGGAAAGCACAGTCCACAGAGCTCCTCCTGTACTGCCTTTCCATCCCTCACAAATGAAAACAAACTCTTTTGGACCCTCAAGGGGCTCTGCAGCAAACCAAGCATCTTTAACACTCAACTCCATGGTGCTACTCCCACTGTGCTGTAGTACACCTATTAGTGTAGGGTCCCACTTCCCACACCAGGGCAACGGCAAAAAGCCACAGTTCAGCTGTAAGTGTGTCACAGCAGCATCAGCATGGGGTCAGTGAGATACAGAGAGAGACTTGGACACCCTTCACCAATCAAGTGAAATCAAAAGCATGGCTGTGGAGGCAGATACTGTTCAACATGTAAGCATCCCAGAGTTACCAACTTCATTAACAAGGAAAAGTTTCTTATCTAAGTTTTATTTTAAAATGGGAAGATGAAGAAAAACAGAAGAAACCGCAATGAAGCTAAGGAAATTCTCCAGCAAGGTCTGCAGAACCCAAAGAAAACTAGCAAGACTATAGTTTGAAAGAACAGTCTAAAATAAATATTTATATAACAACTAAGTTTTCTGACAGACTAGTGCCCTCGGATTTTGGCAGTATCCCTGACATAACAAAAAGCTCTTGTATCCTTCAGTGGAGTGGCTCTAATTGAGGATTTGTGTGTTACCTACTGACTGTATTTAAACACATACATACAATTCTGATCTGTGCAAATTTTAGGGGCTAAGTCATAGCAGTAGCATGAAAGCTGCAGAACAAGTCACATACTTGCACAATTGGCTGCCTCCCAGGTTTCATTAAAGAACTCCGAAAGGGTCACAACTATCTGCAGCCTGTCTGAGGTCAAGATGCTTTTGGCACAATTGTGGCTCTCAGAAGAATTCTAGAAGAAAGAGGAAACAACAAAAAGACCCAATCAAGTGTTAAAAATACAAAGGGAAAATTCTGAAACCTATTTTAAACAAGCACAGCTAAACAATCACAACACATCACATCGATATTTCTAGAATAGGCAGAGCAGAACTGACAGAACAATAAAAATCTTTTGATCTTCCAAATCATACTATGAGCACATGACCTCTGAAGACCTACTAGGACTGCATGCAAGGCAGTCAAAAATACATGACTGCCAATAAAAAAAAAAAAGGCAGAGACACAAGGCCCTCTCTGCCAGGTAGCTCATAGTTATCCATTTCTGGGCCACTGCCCCAGGAGCCAGCCCAAGGCATCTGCAGCCAGAGAGGCAGACAGGGTCATTCTCATTAGACTGAAGGAATATTTGAAGATGAACCAGTGGACTGGCCTCAAAACAAACACAAACAGGAGAAAACCTCCAAACACACTGTACCAACCTACTCTATCAGCAGCAAACTTCCCCCCTGGTTGCAGCAATACCAGGAACACAGTCCTCTGCAAAGCAGTGCCTGCAGCCACTCTACCAAGCCTACAACCAGGCTGGGCTCTTGTCCCCCCAAGCCATAGGTACTAAGCTCATCTATCTTAGCGAGCCACCCAACACACCCCATCCTCAAAGCAGGCACTGGCACAACTCTTACAGCAGCTTATTCTGTGGACCATGCTCATAAAAAAAAAAATGCAGAGCAACTATGAAAGCAGTTACAGAATAAACACGAAGTATCCCTATCAGAATTCAGAATGTTTTTCTCCTTCAAAGCTTTATTTTCTCCCTCAAATCACTGATACAAAACCATAACCTCCAGTCAGCTGACTCCTGTGCTCTAGCTCCTGGTTTCTGGCTGCTAAATTGACTTAAGCACTTCTCAAAATTGCCAAAGCTGCCAAAAGCCTCTTTGATAAGTGACGTGGGACATACGAGAAAATAATCTCTTTAATGAGAAACATGTTCCTTAGAGCTTTATGAGAGATTCAGCTTCCGCCTCTCTTTGTTAAAACAGGTTTATTTTTTAAATAAGAAGTTTTCCTTGGAGATTCAACTGCAGAAGTTGAATATTGCCACATCCGGTAACTCCTATATTCACCCATTTTCATTTCTACTAACTTACAAACAGATATGCAAGAAAGTTGTTTATGCAGGAAACTCTCTGGTTGCTTCATGACAGCTTTTAACTGTGAAATCTCCTTACTAGCTGGACTTAAGAGTGCAAAAAAGCACTTTCAATCCAAAACTTAATCAAGTAAACCTTTATCTTTCCCTTAAATATGTTTGACTAATTTATTCTTTAATTAGCCTAGTGAGGAGGATTTTACATTTCAGAGATGTCCAAAACTTAACTTGGCTGCTTCTTTCACATGGCACTATAACTATTGTAGGATGGCGAAGATAAAAACATCAAATATCTGATTACTTGTGATCACTGACTGAGGTTGCAAGAGGTCACCTCCTTTATTTATTTGGCTAGTTAATCCATACACAGAAGGAAAACCAAACACTAATGCAGATGTTTCTTCCAGACCACACAGTGGACCAGTCCTCCCAGGCTTCCAGTACATAAGCACAGCAGCTGCAATGAATTCATACATATTCTAGGTACTGGGATATGTTTGGCAACCTAATGCTAGCCAAAACAACATGCTGAAAACACCCAAGAGAATTACATACACAATTTCTCACTTCCACATTACCTAGTCACTGGTGTGAAACAGCTTCCCTAGGAGAAACAGACCACAGGTTTGCAAACTAAAACACAGTACCAATGGCCCTGGTGAGGACAAATATCAAATGAGCACCCATGTGCTTTTGCAATACAAGCCCTGGGGTGGTGAGGGGAAACAGGCAGACAACAAAACAAAACCAGAAATACTTCTTCACATGACAGATAACTAGGCTATGAAGTGGCTGGCAGCAGGACACTGTGGCACCAGTTTACCTGGGCTTCAAGAGCAACAGATTTTTCTTGTCAATGGCAATTCTAAATTCAGAAATTCCAAAACTGAAGCACAATCCAGGGGGGACACTGCCAAAAACTTGCTCTGTGCTTGTACTCTGACCAGGGCACCCACTTCTCTAGCCATCATCAGAGAACAAAGGTCCTTTGGTCAGATCTGCTATTGCCATCCTCATATCATCCCAGGGACTAATTACAAACAGATAAACTGGATGAGACATGCAAAACTAGTCATGAACCACCTCCAACGCTACAAAATGAAAAAAAAAGACGATCAAGAGTCTGGAGGATGTAAACAGAAGACCCAGCTTCAGTCAAGGTTTCCCACTTGTGGGGTCCAGAGACTCCAGCCAACACTCAGGACTTTAGTTGGCTGCCACACACTCCCATCAGTTTTAAAGCCACGAACACTGTGACAGGACTCCCCACAGATGACATACATCACTTGACACTGCTTCAGACACCACCAATTTTCCAAGAAGGGCCACGCGACTGAGCTCTGGCCATGTTCCTCATTAGTGCTATACAACAACCTGCGAGCCAGAATGCTACTTTAACCATTGCTACATCAGCAAGAACAACTCAAGTTTTTCCACTTGCACCGAGAAGCAAAGCTTTTTTCTGCAGGTGGAGCTACTTGCCCCAAACCATGCCAGGAACTGGCTACACCGACCACGCCACAACAGCAGGCAGCAGCAGGCAGCCAAAAAACACTCCCAACCTCTGCTAAACCACCTTACACACCTGGTGGGGCTTACTGGCTGGGAACTGACCTTCGCATGCCGGAGATCCGCTTACCCAAAACACCGTGCCCCGCTGAGCACGTTAGTGTCACAGGTCACAGCACCAGCCACACCTAGGCCCGGCCTAACACACGCCACCTCTCCTCACCCTCCAAGCAGGACCGAGGTGCGGAGACGGGCGAGACACCGGCCGTCACGCCACAGGGAAGGGCGAAGCAGGTGGGACCCGCCTGCCTTCCCGAGGACCCCACACCCACTCGCGTACAGCCCAGCTACGTTCTGACACAGAACTTATGTGACTGGAAGCCTCAAGAAAAAAGCCCAGGTTCCCCCAACACGGCACCAGTGCGGGCAGGGCCACAGGCTGGCCCCCGCCCCGGGCAGCCTCGCAGCCCCCCTCGCTCGCCCGCCCGCCCGGCCCCGCGGACGCACCCCGACGGCGCGGGCGATGTTGC